GATTTGTTTTTCATAAAATCAAACGATGAGCGATCCCTTGAAATTTAATTTTGAAAGTTCTCTTCGGGTCTGTTTTCCAGCATCAATGTCCAATCGAAACAACCAGCTATTAACAGCTGGTGTTTATTGATTGAATGAATATTGCTAAAGTGTGAATGACTCATCATTTCAGCATCACGGGAAGAGTAACTCATTGAACGTCTAATGCGTATTATGTACTCCGAAGAAATGAGAAATATGGAGGTAGGCTGAAAACAAAATGAATTCAACATTATGAAATAGATTTTATTCTAATGGCTTTGGTGAAATTGGTCAAAGAAATGTATGCTTTGTTTGCTTTTTGTTAGACGTCTCGGCTGATTTCAGACAAACTAGTTTATACGGTTTACTACCTCCTGTGAAGACTTAACGTAGATAGATCAGGTTTGGTGTTCTCGAGTCGAATATTGATTTGACAGTGTGTGAAGCACAGTTTACCGCCGATATATTTACTTAAATGTGTGTGTATCATTTCACATGCTCCTGGGGAACAGACAACATTAAATGTTGTAAGTGGTGGTATGTTGCTGAATACTATATGATTTATTTGTCAGAAGGTGAGCATAGTAGAATATAAATATCGTCAATTTCAAAATATCTTATAGAGTTAGGTGATTCAGCTAGTCGGGATTTATCTTTCCACGTTATATACAGAGCTAATCTGAACTACTCCAAATACATTTGTTGTAAGAGTTTTATGTACACCTAAAGCACAAGATTAACATGGATCAAGGCTCAAACTCTGCATTCAGAAATGCCTAATAAAACCTCAGTTTTCTACCTTGTTCGTACGGAGCTCTTTCAAGGGAATTTCACTCCGATTTACCTCGTAGTTTTGTGGTAAGTATCATCAGTTCATACATTTTGACAGTATCTGACGTGTGCCTCACTTCTCAAGTTCATTTTTCTTCTCTCTTAGAATAACCCCCTTCATCTTACTTGTCCTCAGAGACATCTTCCCCTTTCCACGTGTATAAGGAATTTTTTACTGCGACTATCTGACTTTTCCAAGGTACTACTCATCACAGAATGACATCATTTCGAGAACCATTGAAAACCTGAAGGCACTGGATAATTTTTCTCCCTGTTTTGAACTCGATAGTAGTGCTCACTGTCACCTCACGGGGAATCGATCCCAAGGCCACTGGGCCTGGCAGAAAACATGTTACCATTCAGTCATGTACTGGAATCCATCGATCAGTTATTTCCCTGTTCCGTCAATCTGCAACATAGCGCGATCATCCCACAATGACACTGATGAGTATTTTTCCTCACAGCCGACTTGGTTGACTCCATAAGTTACAGTTTATTGTTGGAATTTCGTGAAATTCATCTGAAAGTATGCTGTCAGTGGGCACTATCTTGAAACCAATCCATCAACCAAGCCCATAAAACCATCGGTTGAATTTCTGACTACTTACCAAACATAAGTATGATTGCACGGTTTGATAATAAATCCGCTGAAAAGCAATATTTCTAGGTTAAAGACAGGTGGTGAGACTAGGTAGCCCTGTGTAACCCCATTAATGGTTAAAAACAATAAAGGTAAATAACTGTATGCTTCCATTCTACCTGTATTAAAGTATAAGGCCTTCAAAATGTTAAAAAACTTATTAGGGACGTTCCTCATTATCGTGAAATTTCAAATTACAATCCCTCCGATGAATTGAAAGCAACCCTAATATTGAGAAACACAAAGATTGTTGACCTTCACTTCAGCTCTGAAAGAAGTGCGTGATGTTGGCGTACACTTGTTACCTGGTTGCAGGCTTTTCGACTTTGAGTACGTGGACGTTATCGTTTCACTGTGAGGCAACATACAAGTAACTCAAATCACATTCAACCAGTCAGCCATCGGTATCCGTAGGTACAGTATCTGGTGAGCACCGTCTAAATGCAAAGTATTTTAACAAAATTAATAGAAGACTGTGCCTGCGCTTATCCTAGGTGGTGAATTGCTGGAAGTTGTCAGGAAGTTTTCAAACCTGAGTAGCTGTGTAAGTGGTGATGGAGGTGTGATCTATATTTCCATACATATATTGAAAGTCAGAGAGCTATGTTTCAATCTGTGTCACCTACAGGGCCGTTGTGACAATAACTTGCCCGTAAAAGGTCGGGTCACTGCCGATGAAACTTGACTTCCTCAACCTGAAGATGCCTAACGATTATGCTTCTTCACTCAGAATTGCACGTTACTAATGGAAACAAAATGTAAGTAGTTCTGAGGTGAGGTGGAGACTGTTTGGGTGTGATGGAGTTCCTCATTTACTGGATTATTATTTATCACAATAAAATGATTGTATTCAGAATAGGCTGAAAATTGAAACTGTGTCAGCAAGTTTGAAATAAAAACAAGACTTTTACTTTCACTGAAGCAATTTTACAACCTAGTCTACCATTTGTACAATTTCTGTTATAGTACCCATCCCTAGTGCTCAGCTTGATTAGTCCTGACTATCCTCTAATTAGGAACATACAAGCTGAGATATTTAGGAGGCCATTACATAGTAAATGATGTGTCTTAGATACTGGCATAAACAGACATTCTAATCTATACAATGTCTAGAAGTTCATTTATTAAGAGAAAGTTCACATGAAGTGATAGAACAGTCAAAGTTCTTTCAATTTCTCTAAATTTAACTTTGTTTTGTAGTGTTTTCAACAAATCTAATTTATGCAATTCATTTTCTCTATGGATTCTAACAATTGTTGTATCAAACCTTTGTTCATATCGAGTTTAGTAGAGACAAAAACATGGAATCTGTTGACATAGTTCTTGGTACTGATGCCAATTAAGATATGATTTTAAAAATTTCCGGTTTACTGAACAGGTTTTCTTCTGTAGAGGTGGGGGGATATGAAACTATCTGATTTCCTAGGCATGAACCCGAGATCCCTGGGTACTTTCTCCAAGAAGTCAAATCTGCACACTAACTATTTTGAAATTTTCCTACGAATTGTGTTTATTCACCTAGACGTACACAAATAAGTTGTACCTTTTATCATCAATTTTTCATTTACTCGTGTTCCTACTTTCTTTCAGTTTGATAACACAATAGTCGAAGTGTTGACTCCGGTTACTGTAAGGGGTTTTAAAGCATAGGTCAAGTTACGTAGTTACATAACTTCTAACTGACCAATGGTAACATATATCACTGAAACATAGATGACCAAAGCGACGTCTGGCTTAACTTGGCGGTTACACAAAACATGATAGATAGATTTCGATTAGCAATAAGCCACTAGTGACCGATTTCCGTACTTAATCCACTCCTACAAGGGTTCGTTCACGAACCCCCACTGTGAAATTTATGATTTCATCGCTGAATGATGCAGGTTAGGATCACTAAGATCCCCCCCCTCGAGTGATGAATGTCAACAAGCTCGAAACTTTGGTCTACGACTGACTACTAACATCAGTAGGTTTCAGTTCTTAATAAGGTCTTGACATTTTTATTGGCTACCACCCTGCAAATGATTTGAATAGATAATTAACTCTCAAATGGTACACAGAGTGTTAGTTCAACTGAAGGGTTCTTATTCGTATCTTCTGAAAGCCCAGAAGTCATTTAGATCAGGAACCGTTTAGTGGTAGTGTAAATACAATAAAAAAAACATCAGTAATTTAACAATGACGGTGAATGAAGGCACAAGTACAAAATAGGTGTAAAATGTTTCAGAAAGGTGTCAAAATTCTTAAAGGAAGATGAAATTAACTACCAAAGAAATAGGCGGTTATAATTTGTCTCTTTATTAAATACATGATTCGAGCTGAGGCCTCTAGGTTACCGACCTAGTACTTCACCAGCTGAACTACGAGACACAATCGCTGACAAAATCTTAACTTCAACTTCGGATACTTTATTGAGTCAAGTCTGCCAGTCTTTGTTGGTATGTGAACAACCTTGAACGGTCAAGTGATTATTGCCGTGATCATCATTTTTTTCTGATAGTGGAAGCCAGAATACTTTTCACGTCGAATCTGTGGCCCAACACACTGTTGTGTATTCATCCCAGTGCACCAACTGAGAATTAAAGCACAGAACTCATGGCTACGAACACCAGAGCTTTATTCATGAAGCTCCAAGTAATATAAAGGTGAAAATCATGATGAAGTCTGTCCAACGCCATCCGTGACAAGAGCAGCCAATCAATTTAACTCAATAAAGAAAGCAACGAGACATTACAACGCCTAATCAATAACAACTACTGATACCCTTTTGTTAAGCAGAAGCCTAGTGGATAACTCTCTGGCATCTACAGCAACGCGTAGTTGGCTCAAATTTCAGTTGGAAGGCCATCACACCTAGTAAAATGAAAGTAAGTGCAAATGATGGGTCCAGAGTTGAACGAAACGAAGGCCCGAAATCCTAATGCTAGTCACTACCAAACAAATTACAGTCAAATTATGGAAGTTACGCGTGACAGTTTCATGAGAATTTTAACTTCAACGACTATTTACCGGCATTGTACGTGATCACGTGCATACTAACATGATTATCTGCTATTTCTACTAGAATAAACAGTTCTGTGTATAGTTTTACTTCATGTTGACTTTTTCAGAATTTTGAAAGCTAGTCTGACCTTTGACATAATCGTTTTTGGCTGATAAGACGAAACATTCATCATACATGGATGTTCAGTTTTATATCTCCCTAGTACACTTTTATCATTCAGAAAACAAATCGATAGGAAGAGGGCAGAGAGACAAACACAAATACACACACACACAAAATGCCGTTTTGGGCGAGACAACAAAACTGATTCTGTCCATAAGATTAAGGAAACAATTAAGGCATACAATCGTACACATACATACAGAACTGGTGTAATACCAGTAATGATAACATAGAATTTCAATGAACCAATCAAAATTCGATAAACAGTAGTACAAAGTTTTAATGGCCATAAATGGACATAGTAGAACGGCATAAAAACCGAATAAATTGTGCAGCCATCTTGATATCTGCTAGCATTCAGATTGTTAATCCTGCTTCGTGCAACTGCAGTACAGAGTTTTGACAAATAACCATGGCAGATGAAGAAGTTCAGGCCCTTGTGGTAGATAATGGTTCAGGCATGTGCAAAGCTGGATTCGCTGGTGACGATGCACCAAGAGCTGTATTCCCTTCAATTGTCGGACGACCTAGACATCAGGTAAACAAAATTCCTCCAGCCATTCATTCATGCTTACATGCCTTTTCATTATCTAAGTGTAATGCATTTACTATTAAATTGATTACTAAATTTACGTTGAATCAGATGACAGAATGTTTGTGATACTTGCAACACAGTGAAGTGATATCGAGTGGTCGACGGTTTTCCACTGTGTAACACGCATCACGAAGATTCCAACACCAGGGAGGATGTTATGTTATGTAGTACATGAACGTGTTCCTACTCATTCATATCTGACTGGTCACTGATCACTGTCTCTTCTTCTCTCTCAGGGAGTCATGGTCGGTATGGGTCAGAAGGACAGCTATGTCGGTGATGAAGCACAATCGAAACGTGGTATTCTCACCCTCAAGTACCCAATTGAACATGGTATTGTCACGAACTGGGACGACATGGAGAAGATCTGGCATCACACATTCTATAATGAGTTGCGTGTAGCTCCAGAAGAACACCCCGTCCTGTTGACTGAAGCTCCACTGAATCCAAAAGCCAATCGTGAGAAGATGACACAGATCATGTTCGAGACATTCAACACACCAGCCATGTATGTTGGTATCCAAGCTGTGCTGTCATTGTACGCGTCAGGTCGTACGACCGGTATTGTGCTCGACTCTGGTGATGGTGTGACACACACTGTACCCATCTACGAAGGTTATGCTTTGCCACACGCCATCCTGCGTCTGGATCTCGCTGGTCGTGACTTGACTGACTACCTGATGAAGATCCTCACGGAGCGTGGTTACAGCTTCACCACAACTGCCGAGAGAGAAATCGTGCGTGATATCAAGGAGAAACTGTGCTATGTGGCTCTGGACTTTGAACAGGAGATGGCTACTGCTGCCTCCAGCTCATCCCTCGAGAAGAGCTATGAACTCCCTGATGGTCAGGTCATCACCATTGGTAACGAACGCTTCCGTTGTCCTGAGGCCTTGTTCCAACCGAGCTTCTTGGGTATGGAATCTGCTGGTGTTCACGAGACCACCTTCAACTCAATCATGAAGTGTGATGTCGACATTCGTAAAGATCTGTATGCCAACACAGTGTTGTCAGGTGGTACAACAATGTTCCCAGGTATTGCTGATCGTATGCAGAAGGAGATCACTGCATTGGCACCAAGTACAATGAAGATCAAGATTGTTGCCCCACCTGAGCGTAAATACTCCGTTTGGATTGGTGGTTCAATTTTGGCGTCACTGTCCACCTTCCAACAGATGTGGATTTCCAAACAAGAATATGATGAGTCTGGTCCTGGTATTGTTCATCGTAAATGCTTCTAATTTTCCTTGTATAAACACTTCAGAAAAAATTGTGAAATATTTATGATATTTATCTTACATTGCCCACTCTGAAATAAACTTATCTTTGATCCACTTAAACGGTATTGTACTTTCTTGTTGTATATAGATGTGTAGATTTAGGATTTGAGTTTCAATGCCATTATTGAATTAACTTTGTCGATAGGAAATATGTGAGTGTTATGTGTGCGAGCATTATTGTCATTTCGTACATCATTGTTTTTGTTGTTGCCTTCTACTTCATAAGGTGTATTGACGACGACATTTGTTGCATTTCTAAGAGGCACCTATCTGGTAGGTGTAGTCAATCCACTGAGTAACGCAGTTGTTAGGGTACAGCGCATAACCAGAATGAGTTGTAAAAGCTGCAGTGGATTGATGTGCTGTCAGCAGATGGGTTGTGAAATCATAAGTACGTATGTGTAACTGTTTGAAAAGGAGTTCAGGTAATCGATACATGTTCGACCAACTGTCTGTTGTTTAGTTGGATATGTGCAGTTTTTCTTCTGTGCACGCGTTCACCACTCAGCGAGTAGTAAAGATTACCTGACTTATTTTACCAATAAATATAAAAATTACCTGGTCAGTCGACAAATATATGACTCCCAAGCTAGCAGAATGATGTCCATTATCTTCCTCCTGAAAAAAATATCTTGAAAATCGAGCGAATTCTGCATTAACCCTCACCGAAAGTCTTCGGCACCTCTACAATTCAAAAACGTCGACTAGCTTAATCTCTTGATTTGTCGTCTCAAGGACAAATAATTTTATATTTCCACCCTACAATGTAATTTAAGATGTTGACTCATCTTCCGAATGAGCTTCGGTAATATGTCAAATTCAATGTAGAAATAATGAGGTTTCTCATGTACTTCGATCAGATACCTTCAATTTCTTTATGACTTAACCGAAATCAGAGTATGCTTGTCATTTGTTATGATAGGAGTAAGACTGAACCAGTTGGTGAAGTTGCAGTAATAAGGAATACGTACGCGAAGGATATCAGAATATAAATGCAGAAGTTGAGAACTGACTGATTTCAAAGAGATCTTCATCATTGGTTTAATATGGAGAATTTAGGCCATTCGATCTCTATGCAGTGAGTGAGCAGTGACTTACTAGTCAAGAGATCGAACAGTCTTTGGTACGACCATACACTTATTAAGTGGTGAGTAAGCTTATGTTTCTTACAGTAGCTTCAATAATTTATCTGCTACAGTGCAGTGATCTGCCTCATAACCTAAATTAATTCTGGAACTGAATTCAAGGGGTTTGTGGGAATTAAGAGATATTTCAAGTTGGTATTCATCGTAGACTGACCGCAGAAATACATGTATATATACGGATGAATAACTACCTTGAATTAGTGTTAGGACCGCTTCCGGAAGTTGTTAGCAAAATCGAATGTTACTTAAAAAAACAATGAGATTTTGCTCACATATTCACCTCAGAATGAAGTCCTAAATGATGTAACCACCTTTTACGTTTCCATGGAAGTCATCCATTAGGTAGTGGCGTAAGATCTAGAAACTTTATTTCTGCCCTACACAACAGACAAATGCATAGGAACTACATCGATCAATCGTTGATTAACAGCACTGCGAACAGTAGACATACTAAATGATGTCTGCAAAAAATATACATTGGTCGCTTGCCAGTGACCAGTTAATGCATGTAATCCAGTCCCACAGAAGGTTAATCCCAACCGGAATGGCTCAGTGATAGCGTCGCTGACTGCAACACTTTGAATCTTAGAGGTGATGTCAGTTCCCACAAGGTTGCAGACCTGCCTTGCTGACGAGTACCGACAAGCACGAAAACCAGGTCTACTCCTTCATGCCGATCGCTTCCAACCAACTCACATATATGCATTGTTATTTTAAACATATAGTCCCTTACAGTCTGTGGTAAGGTATCAAATGAGTTGTGCATGTTGTGTGATACCTAACCCAGATATCCATTCTTTCCATCCTGTTATTTAACTTTACCACAGACGTAATTATGGAGGTCTGACTTTACAGTGGTTCACCTGGTCACAGATTACTTAGGAGACCTGGAGTACGCGGATGGCAGAGTCCTGCAAGGTAAAAATGTTGAGTCTTCTGGACACCGTGAATGACAATTCCAGAATGTTTGAGATGCGCTTTTCACCAGATGTAAATTGCAGCTCCAGTGCGGTCTTGTTTAAAAATAGAGAGCCAAGTGGTTTGGCGCGTTCATCACTTCACTTACTTGAGAAATCGGACCACCTTGATCAGTCAGGGACGATCTAAATCTCTTCACAGATAAAAAGAAAGCTCGATTGGCTTTCATTAAATTACACCATTTATGATGCCTCTGTGATATCCGATTGCCTATTAAGGACTGACTGTACTGCACAACAGTTCACTCTGTTCAACTATATGACTATCGGACCTGGTTACTAAAGGTGGAGGATTCTAGTAGGCTTTTGGTATTTGATCACCACTGCCTTCTTAGCATGGGCCGTGTTTCGTGGTGCAAACAGGTCAGTAATTTAAAAGACAGGAGGAGAGGAAAGTCATTTGATGAAGTTGTGAACCTTCATCCACCGAGGTCTCTGGGACATATGTTGTGCATGCTGAATTTGGTTGGAGTAAGTTCAGTTTGGAAACATTCGGAAGATGGCCAAATTAAACCATAGCGTCAGTTCATGAAGCCTGTGACCGTTAGCGTGAGTCATGTGGGGGAGATGTAAACTTCTGAGTTGGTGTCCGTTTGAACTGGAATCGATGATTGGAGACTCGAGATAACATGACTCAGAACCGATCTCATTATCACAGGTGTACTTACTTGCACGTAATCCTCATCTTAATCATCATGATGACTTTTAATATTTTCACTTTCTTTTGACGACTCACTTTTGGCTGCTTTCTTTACTTATTTATCTGTCTTCTTGGTGCATTCTTGCCTGGAGGAGTGACGTGAACTACGGCAAAATGAATCGTTACTCAGTAATGCCAGGTCTCAGGTTGATATTAACTCACTGGGGAATACATTTCTTTTAACTGAGACAACACGATTACTTCAAGAAAGCAGCAAGAGAAAATCTACTGAGCAGGTCTAATCAAGCCCAAGTTTTTAAAATAAAATGTGTGCAGAAACGCCAAAGCATTATCCACTGGAGTTCAAAAGCCACCACTTAAGTACTGGACTCATGTCTCAGTGGGAACAGCTACACTCACTGGGGTGCAGATTCATCCAACTAACGGGTCCCAAACGGGACGAAACGCGCGTCCTGCATCCTACTGCGAGTCACCAAGATGGATAGTATATGTATCTATATTATCAAATGACTAGATTAGTTTATTTTACATCACACTTGAACTTACAAATCTACTCAGAGACAGACTGTATCGGTTTAAAAGTTCTACTGATTCAGTTTAACAGAATAATATATTTTATCGAATACCACGCTATAATTGTGTGGTCGTAAATGTAGGTCAAACTAGCTGATCTGCGTCAGTCAGACTGGCAGAACACAGGAAATTAACAAAGTCTAGAACAATTGAGTTTAATAAATTGAGTAGACCAGAGAAATATTCAACTACAGATACACATGTGATAACAAAATCACTTAATAGGGTAGAAGCAAAGTAACAGTCCTAGTGACTTATGTAATTAAGTGGCAAGAGAGAGAAAGTGTTCGATCACGGGATCGGTGTTCATTGATTCAACGACTAACTTATTTGATTAGCCTTGTCTAACAGATTATCAGGTTTCGCAACTCTTTTCCAATCTTGATTTCCATTTTACCACAAGGTTAATAAAACAACTATATCCTATTGTTTAGTAATAGATTGTCATATGTTTGTGGAATATATAAGTGCGATTGTGCAGCTTTCGAAAATGACATCGCCGCATAAAGCGAATTTTCTTTGCTGCTTCACGATTCAGTGGGTATCTTTCGTCGTCTAAGTGAAACAAATTCGTAGAGAATGTAGGAATGAGATAAGAACAAAAATGTGTTAACTAATAATAAGGATTAACAAAAAATAAATTTACATCAGTTTTGATCAAGATTTAACCGAAAAGTATCGCAAATATTTGGCACCAAGTGAAAAATTGACAAAAGATATAGTTTATGTTTGTTACTTGAAACCTGCTGAGAATTATAAAAATATATATCTACTGTCAAACAAAAAACTAATTAGCCAATTTGAAGTGCATTACAAGTGTTATTGAGGCAAATTTAGAGTGACCACCATTTCCTTCTGCATACACAAAGGGTTGATTTGGGAACTAGAATCGTATAGGCCTTTGTGATTGCAAGCAGCTTCTTATTCTGTCTATTGCCTACTCACCATTGCAAACAAAGTGATAGAGTCAATATCATGCCCATAGTCTAGGAGATGTTATATTTCAGAGCTTCTTGGAGTCTTCACTTTGGAACAGCTAAGCTGTTTGTGGAGGTGCTCAACCGTACGATTAGATAACCACCTCTACCTACGACCTATTTATTTGTATCCACGATCACACTGGAACTTGTGGAAGCGGGCATGTTGAAGAGCAGTATTCGCTGGTGTAGTCTGAAATGCATGTGTATAGCTGGGACTACTCCCCCCCCCCACCCCCCTCCCCGTAGTAGACATAGTCAAGTTTTAAGAACATCCAGCTGATGAGTTTTATCATATTTTTATGCACTGATTAAATCCTGCTTTCTATACTATTGTTACTTGTTTCAAATTCTTTTATGACTTTCCAATAATGATGTTCTGCAGTAAAACCAAAATAAGAAATAAATAACCAAGTGGGAAGTTCCATTCGTCACATTATCAATGTATTGGCTTTTCGTTGGAATTTTCGTAGCATTCATTCGATTATTATTATTACTATTATTATTATTATTATTATTATTAGTAGTAGTAGTAGTAGTAGTGTGAGTAGTAGTTTTTGTGTAGTAATAATACATTTGCTTTATTCTGCACCATGTTTATGTTTACAGTACAGAATTCTCAGCGTGTGTTATTACATCAATTTACATTTTCAAAACTAACAATGGTTCTATTTGGCAATACATAACAAACGATTATTGAAATATTTAATGACTTCAGGGACAT